TCTGCTGGATATATTTGAAGTCAGACAATATGCATCAAGTATCAATGTTGGAAACTCTAATAATAATGTTACATAATGTTATGTAAGAGATCACAGATGGATCTTGGTGCCCACCATTATTTAATGTTTATTTGTTCTCTGAAAGCTGGAGCTTTTCCCTTTTATTTATCCCCTCTTTCCTCTGTATTACCATTATCAATGTTCTATAAAACATGTATCAGGGGTGATAACTCTGTCTATATAACCTGTATCAGGGGTGATAACTCTGTTCTATAAAACCTGTATCAGGGGTGACAACTCTGTTCTATAAAGCCTGTATCAGGGATGACAACTCTGTTCTATAAAACCTGTATCAGGGATGACAACTCTGTTATATAAAACCTGTATCAGGGATGACAACTCTGTTCTATAAAACCTGTATCAGGGATGACAACTCTGTTCTATAAAACCTGTATCAGGGGTGACAACCCTGTTCTATAAAGCCTGTATCTGGGATGACAACTCTGTTCTCTAAAACCTGTATCAGGAATAAGTCCATTATGTTTTATGAAATCCATATGGGAGTGATTAACATTGCTTTAAACCAATATCAGGATTAATTTCTCCAGGAACACTCTATCAAACCCATACAAAATTTGTATCAAAGGGGTCAACTGAGCTAATGTTCAATATCAAGAGGAGGGAGGGTGGGCTGCATAGTATTCTATAAAACAATTATACACTCTGACTAAATGAAGTGTTTGTAAATACGCCCTTATCTGTTGTGCTGTATGTTCAAAGCCTACAGAATTGCTACCAAACACACTGTACTTATACACAGATTTGAAAGGCAATTACTGAGCAGACCGACCAGTAAATGGATCCAATCTCATTTGTTGAGATTTACAATACCAGACAGACTGGCAGACTAACTTTTCCTAGATAACTGAGTATTTGTACTAATAAAGATGAATGTATTAGAAATAGCATAACACATTAAGTCCTGCACATTTTTAACATGTTACTGACTTTTAAATAGATCCATTTAATCCTAAATCTTAAACAGAACACAGACAATAATATCCAGACTTGATTTTTCTCTCCAGAGACATGGTAACTATACAAGATTTCTGACAACAATATACAAGTTTGTCTTCTCTCCAGAGACATAGTAACTATACAAGATTTCTGACAACAATATACAAGTTTGTCTTCTCTCCAGAGACATGGTAACTATACAAGATTTCTGACAACAATATACAAGTTTGTCTTCTCTCCAGAGACATGGTAACTATACAAGATTTCTGACAACAATATACAAGTTTGTCTTCTCTCCAGAGACATGGTAACTATACAAGATTTCTGACAACAATATACAAGTTTGTCTTCTCTCCAGAGACATGGTAACTATACAAGATTTCTGACAACAATATACAAGTTTGTCTTCTCTCCAGAGACATGGTAACTATACAAGATTTCTGACAACAATATACAAATTTGTCTTCTTCTCTGTAGAGACATGGATAATCATAACAAGATTTGAAACTTTCACTAGAATCAAGATGTTGGTGTTAGACAATACCGTATGAACAATCGATGACAATCAAATTAATTTGCATTTGTTGTCTTGTGCTTCCAGAAGTTCAATCGAAGAACAGAATCAAATTAATTTGTTTTCTGTTAATCAAAAAAGATAATTTTTTCATCTCTGGCTCTGAATCATCTCCTTTATCTAGGTCATATCGTTGGTCTGCTTGGAGACATATCTAGGTCATATTGTTTGTCTGAGCAGAAATAGATATTCATCTATTTAGAGATAGATCTAGGTCATATTGTTCATCTGCACGGAGACATATTTAGGTCATATTGTTCATCTGCACTGAGACATATCTAGGTCATATTGTTCATCTATATGGAGACATATCTAGGTCATATTGTTCATCTATATGGAGACACATCTAGGTCATATTGTTCATCTGCTTGGAGACATATTTAGGTCATATTGTATGTCTGTGTGGAGACATATCTAGGTCATATTGTATGTCTGCGTGGAGACATATCTAGGTCATATTGTTCATCTGGGAGGAATGGGCATAGAGCGAAGAGTAGGACAAATAGCAATCTCAAGGTCAAAACAGATATGGAATGAGTGAAGGACAGACATAAAAGCAAGAACGGAACTGATATGGCACTGAGGGAGGAGGGACAGACATGAGATTGAGGGAGAAGGGACAGACATGTGACTGAGGGAGGAGGGACAGACATGTGACTGAGGGAGGAGGGACAGACATGAGACTGAGGGAGAAGGGACAGACATGAGACTGAGGGAGGAGGGACAGACATGAGATTGAGGGAGGAGGGACAGACATGAGACTGAGGGAGGAGGGACAGACATAAGACTTAGGGAGGAGGGACAGACATGTGACTGAGGGAGAAGGGACAGACATGAGATTGAGGGAGGAGGGACAGACATGAGACTGAGGGAGGAGGGACAGACATGAGACTGAGGGAGGAGGGACAGACATGAGACTGAGGGAGGAGGGACAGACATGTGACTGAGGGAGGAGGGACAGACATGAGACTGAGGGAGGAGGGACAGACATGAGATTGAGGGAGAAGGGACAGACATGAGACTGAGGGAGAAGGGACAGACATGAGACTGAGGGAGAAGGGACAGACATGAGACTGAGGGAGGAGGGACAGACATGAGACTGAGGGAGGAGGGACAGACATGAGACTGAGGGAGGAGGGACAGACATGAGACTGAGGGAGGAGAGACAGACATGAGACTGAGGGAGGAGGGACAGACATGAGATTGAGGGAGGAGGGACAGACATGAGACTGAGGGAGGAGGGACAGACATAAGACTTAGGGAGGAGGGACAGATATGAGATTGAGGGAGGAGGGACAGACATGAGACTGAGGGAGAAGGGACAGACATGAGACTTAGGGAGGAGTGACAAACATGAGACTGAGGGAGAAGGGACAGACATGAGACTTAGGGAGGAGGGACAGACATGAGACTGAGGGAGGAGGGACAGACATGAGATTGAGGGAGAAGGGACAGACATGAGACTGAGGGAGAAGGGACAGACATGAGACTGAGGGAGAAGGGACAGACATGAGACTGAGGGAGGAGGGACAGACATGAGATTGAGGGAGGAGGGACAGACATGAGACTGAGGGAGGAGGGACAGACATGACAGACATGTGACTGAGGGAGAAGGGACAGACATGAGGAGGGGAGGGACAGACATGAGACTTAGGGAGGAGGGACAGACATGTGATGAGGGAGGAGGGACAGAGATGAGATTGAGGGAGGAGGGACAGACATGTGATGAGGGAGGAGGGACAGACATGAGACTGAGGGAGGAGGGACAGACATGAGACTGAGGGAGGAGGGACAGACATGTGATGAGGGAGGAGGGACAGAGATGAGATTGAGGGAGGAGGGACAGACATGAGACTGAGGGAGGAGGGACAGACATGTGATGAGGGAGGAGGGACAGACATGAGACTGAGGGAGGAGGGACAGACATGTGACTGAGGGAGGAGGGACAGACATGAGATTGAGGGAGGAGGGACAGACATGAGACTGAGGGAGGAGGGACAGACATGAGACTGAGGGAGGAGGGACAGAGATGAGATTGAGGGAGGAGGCAGACTGAGAATTGAGTAAGGTGGTATAGACATGATACCAAGAGAGAAGGGACAGGCATGAATTTAGGAAGGATAGACATGAGTCTGAGGGAAGAGGGTGTAGACCTGAAATTGAGGAAGGAGGTATAGACATGGGACCAGGAGAGAAGGGTCAGGCATGAATGGAGGGAGAATAGGCATGGGTCTGAGGGAGGAGGGGCAGACATGTGATGAGGAAGGAGGGATGGACAGACATGTGGGAGAAGAACATATATATGACTGAGGTAGGAGGGACAGACATGAAACAATCTTATAAACTATATGTTGATAGAACTTAGTTTTATAAAAAATATTACCAAAATATTTCATAAATCATCTAATTTAATTATTACTTTATAACATATCAATCGAAATCACAATATGAACACAAGCATACATCAATTGTTAAACTAGTTACTGCAAACAAAACATAAACAGCTAGAGGCACTGTAGGTGTAAATACTACTGTTAATGAAGTAAATGTTGCAGTTGAGGCTTGGATAGAGCACATTTTGTACCATCTGGCACAATATATGTATCTCACAAGTCTTCTTACTAATCATCAGTGATATCTACACATCCTCCCCAGTCCCCTACCCCCTAATGTTTATATCTACACATCCTCCCCAGCTCCCTACCCCCTAATGTTTATAAGTACAACAGCATGTATCTATACAGATGTTTATAATATAATCATGCTTACATCCCACGACTGGTACCTCAGCAAATATTGCTTTCAGAATGTAAATCTAAAACTTTGCTGTCATATTGGTCAGTACATCATACAGGTGACAATTTACACAGGTGATAATTCATACAGGTGACAATTTACACAGGTGATAATTCATACAGGTGATAATTTACACAGGTAATAATTCATACAGGTGACAATTCATACAGGTGACAATTTACACAGGTGAGAATTCATACAGGTGACAATTCATACAGGTGACAATTTACACAGGTGACTGTTTAGAGGTGACAGTTTCTACAGATGACTGTTTATACAAGTGATAATTTATACATGTCATGATTTATACAGTGACTGATTATAAAGGTGACAGTTTATGCAGGTGACTGTTTGTAAAAAGTGATAATTTTTTATGTGATAATTCCTACATGAGACAGTCAATATGAGTGAAAATTGTCAAGGTTACATTAAGTTACCACATGTTACAGGGCTCAAATGATTATACCAGTCACTATTTTATTAAGGTTTTTGTGTGACAGTTGATAGAGTTTTTACAGATAACATTTAATACAGATAAAAAGTTGCATCACTTAAGTGTTTTTTATACCTGTTACATGTTACCTTTAATGACTATGGACTGACTGACCCTTACCTGTTTGTCTCCATGTTCCTGGCTTGTAATAAACTGTTATATTATTATATCACTGGTAATTTGTAGTAATGTTCATCAGTCTGTAGTAAATTTGTCCATACAGAAAATCCATCCACAGAAATTACACTTTTGTAAAGGTAGCCCATCCATTGTAAGGTATAAACAGACAATTATCCACAGCAAGATTTACACAGCTAATCCTTAGTAATTTTTATACAGGTAGTCCATTATTTTGGCAATAGGAGTAATCCATTTTGATTTAAATACAAATGATTAATAGTGAGGTAAGTAATCTTTGTATCTACATAGGAAATCACTGTTAGTGGATAACTATCATTTCTGTCTCACCACAACATCAATATCTGACAGCAAAACAGAGAGAGCCTGCCTCATCAGCTACCACAGGTACTCCGTGAAGTATTACTCATCAGGCTGTCAGCATCCGCGACTATTCACAGCCACTGAAGCTTTAAACTGTGTCATATCATACTCATTGACACAACATAACATTGTTCCTGACCTCCAGTGACCTCACACTTGAACTTTTGTAACCCTTGACCTCCTGATTCAAACTAGATCCTATGTCCCAATAATGTTTAGTACCTAAAGCCGTATACAGTGGCTGTGTATGTTCCCCAGTGTGAAGGATTGGAGGCGCCCTGAGGAGAATGTATGGAATTCCGATACACCTAACACACTTTCCAGTTCTATAGATGACAGGCTGTGATCTGATCGGACCAGATCAACCATAAACAGATCAATACAATGATTTGTCAGATGAAATAGATGGTTTACGGACTGAGAATAACCAATTCAATATTGTCGACATTCTTGGAGGAACAGCGAGTGTAACTTTATACTGAGACAATGTTTCTATTGACTCAGCACATGCAGAGACAATATCTTTATATTACAATAAAGGCCTGTAAAGACACAATGTCTTTAGTCTGGTGTAGGTCCCAATGGGGACCAGTGCTGCACACTAATCATTCATATTACAAGCTCCATCAACTAATTTGTCAGTTCCTCATAGCAGGCAGAGTGACTTGACAACTGATTCTAAACATGCAGCCCATATAGTCGACATACATACAAATATCTGATGATGAGCTGTAGACATTTATATACTATAGACAAATACCAACAACATCCAAATGATATCTGTTACAGCCTCCCAGACAGATATTTCATTACCTTCCTGAGGGACCAGTACTGCTATGTCTGGTACTAGGCAACAGTATACCTAATATCTGCAGTGTCTGGTCCTCAGCATTTAAAGTATTAGTTTCTGTAGTACTTTCTGGTCCTGGCCAACAGAAAAAGTGTCTACAGTGCTTGTTTCTGACCTACAGTACAAATGTCTGGCTCCAACCTATAGTACAAGTGTCTACAGTGTCTGTCACTGACCTACAGTACAAGTGTCTACAGTGTCTGTCTCTGACCTACAGTATTAGTGTCTACAGAGTCTGTCTCTGACCTACAGTACAAGTGTCTACAGTGTCTGTCTCTGACCTACAGTACAAGTGTCTACAATGTCTGTCTCTGACCTACAGTACAAGTGTCTACAGTGTCTGTTTCTGACCTACAGTACAAGTGTCTACAATGTCTGTCTCTGACCTACAGTAAAAGTGTCTATGGTGCCTGTCTCTGACCCACAGTACAAGTGTCAGTACAAGTGTCTACAGTGTCTGTCTTTGGCCTACAGTAAAAGTGTCTACAGTGTCTGTCTCCAGTCTACAGTATAAGTGTCTACATTGTCTGTCTCCAGTCTACAGTAAAAGTGTCTACAGTGTCTGTCTCCAGCCTACAGTACAATTGTCTACAGTGTCTGTCTCTGACCTACAGTATAAGTGTCTGCAGTGTCTTGTTCTGGCCTACAATACAAGTGTCTAGTGTCTGTTTCTGACCTACAGTACAAGGGTCTACAATGTCTAGTCCTGGTCTTCGGTATAAGTTTCTGCAGTACTGTCTAGTCCTGGTCTACAGTGCAAGAGTCTGTGGTTTCTTTTTCTGGTAATGGCCTACAGTGTCTGTCTCTGACCTTCATTACAAGTGTCTATAGTGTCTGTCTCTGGCAAACACTTCAGGTATCTGCAGTACTGCTGCAGTCTACGTAGACTGTAAGTATCTATATATATGCAGTTAGATACATCTGCCAACTACACTTGTATACATTACGTACACACATCAGAGCCAAGTAAGCAAAATGACTGAATTTCAATGGAATTCTAGGCACTGATTTGATATTAATTGATACTGCTTACTGTATAAGCTTTTGATTCCCGTGGTTTGCTAAGCAACCAAGAAAATGAAATAGGTAACACTAATACTGAACTAGTTTTTCTTGGAGAATATATCTACAAATGATTATATTGTGACCTAACCAATTTAAATCGTGACATAACCAATTCAAATCGTGACCTAACCAACTTAAATCTAAAGAAGATAGTGCCTACACAATATGATGTTATAAAGTAAGTTCCTATCTAGTTATAGGTCACTACTTTACCTTCAATAACTTAACATTACAATATTTGATTGTCAAATCTTCCAAACATGATTTCTACATTTAATAGGTAAACTACAGATTGTACAAAAACCGAAGGCACACAAGTAATTAGCATCTTTCATTACAAACAGTAGAGCCGAATGATGAATTAACTGCATCATACTACTGTTTCATCCTTCTAGTACTCAACAGTGATGCTAGTGACTTAAATTTTGAAGCCTTGGAGGCAACTCAGGAAAATCCAAAGTGATTGAAAGAAAAGTCTTAACCTAGATAGGAAAGTGCACTAGCCCCATAATTAATTGTTTCATAATTTTCATATATATCAGATAATTTTAGAACAACATAATGGAAAGATAGTAACTGAATGAAAACATCAGACTGACACTAACACAGTATATATGATTATACCAGTACAGAAGAATATAAAAATCTCAGAATTCATTCCCAGCTCAAAATATAGCAGGATTGAGAAAGGTTTATAGAACTTCAGCTGAATTTACAGCAGGTTTTTAGCAGGTGTTCTGCACTGCTGAATCACTGCTGTATTCTGAACTGAACAAGAAGTTGGTGAAATCATAAGTAATTCTATAGTGAGAATTAAGCAATCATTAAACAGGTTTTCAGCCTATCTGAAATTTAAATGAGCTATACTGCAGGTTTTCATCAGACAGCACAGCTGGATATATTCAGCAACCCTTGGACCCTGCCCCATACAGATATGGACAATATATTGTAATTTCTACAGCAGAATGATTCCAACATATTTTCTGTTACAATATGTCTCCTATCAGACCCCGCCCTCCTGCCATAGGGTACTGACACCAACCATTTATACAAAATTGCCTCTCCTTCTTCAAAACACGCTTCAGACCAGACATTATCCTGGCATTCCTAAACAACATGGAAAATTAGAAAGGACTTGCTATATCTATTATCCATTTACTAAAAACTCCCCTTTAAAAGCATGCTTCAGACCAAATTGGGATGAAATCCAGGCATTCCTACAGAAGAAAAAGGATTTTAAAGAATTTGTTAAATTTCCCCTAGTTGGGCTTTGCCCCTTCTGTCTCAATAAGCTTAGACCCATCATTTATACAAAGTGATTCCAAGGATCCTATAGATCATATTAAGAGAATTTCTGCTCTGAATCTTTTCCCTTCTTTTCTCTCCTCTTCTCTGTTTTTGATCTTAATGATGAAAAATTTGAACATTCCTTTGCAGAAATAGCAATAATAATCTTTTACTGCCAAATCCAAGATGGTCGTCTGGAAGCCATTTTTTCCTAATCTGTGCCAAAATCAAACAGGTCCAACTAGAGACCAAAGAGAACCTATACATGAAATTTGAGAAAGATGTATGCTGTAGTTCTCAAGAAATAGCAATAACAAACTATCAAAGTCAAAATCCAAGATGGCCACCTGTCAACCATTTTGCTTTCCAGATCAGTCCAAAGATTCAATGGGCACCATTTGGGACAAAGGTAAACCTTCATATGAAATCATCAGATGGTAGGTTAAAAATCAGGACAGAATCATGGCATTTTTAAAGAAAAAAATTGAAATGAATTTGCTCTCTTTCCTTTATTGGGTCCTGCCCCTCTCACCCAAGGGTGCTGATCGAGATTTTCTTTTTCCAAACCAAATTTGAACAAAATCCAATTCAGCAATCATTTCTACAGTAGAAGAATGATTTTTGAAAAATTGCTTATTTTTCCCTTTTGTATGTACCTCCTGGCCCCTGGAATCCAAGAACCACAATTTTGTATCAACTTGGTTCCCGCTTTTCTCAAGGATGCTTCTGAACAAATTTTGTTGTTCATGACTACTAGCATAAGCTCACCAGTCACAGAAATAATACATGACCCATTTTTAAGGTGTGAAATTCTATTACCTATCTATAGGCACCTACATGCTAAATATGCAATTAAAGCTAGGATACTTCATTAGATATGCCCCTCCACTTCATAATATGTATATTCACAAAGGGTAGAAATTCTGCATATTTTAGACATGATGTATTTAATTAGTGTAAAGCAATGATCAAGCATTTCTTATTTTAATAACATATCTTAACAAAGATACAACAGATTATTTACTCTCACCTAATTTCATTCAATGAAGACTTTTTTCGACCAGCCTTTCCATTGATGTTATACTTCTAGCTGATCACTGAAAGCTAACTAGGACACCTTTGTTGATTGGTCTGTCAGTGTTTTCACTCTTAATTTCCTGCATGTACAGAATCAGATTGGCACCAATCTGTTATCTCAGGACAGACAAGTTCTGAGTTTCTTTCTTATACAGGAAACCTAATGTATGTATTGGGAATCCATTCTATTTTCATGAAATAGATTAAATGAATATTTAACATCTAATGACTTCCAAAATTCTGTATTGACAGTAGAAGTCTGGCTATCAGCCCCTAATGTCTTAGAAAATTCTGTATTGACAGCAGTAGTCTGGCTATCAGCCCCTAATGTCATAGAAAATTCTGTATTGACATAAGAAGTCTGGCTATCAGCCCCTAATGTCTTAGAAAATTCTGTATTGACATAAGAAGTCTGGCTATCAGCCCCTAATGACTTAGAAATTTCTGTATTGACAGTAGAAGTCTGGCTATCAGCCCCTAATGACTTAGAAAATTCTGTATTGACAGGAGTAGTCTGGCTATCAGTCCCTAATGACTTAGAAATTTCTGTATTGACAGTAGAAGTCTGGCTATCAGCCCCTAATGACTTAGAAATTTCTGTATTGACAGTAGAAGTCTGGCTATCAGTCCCTAAGTTCCCTCTACAGCTGTAGCTTATTTCCCCTTGATTGAACATCATGAATCAGACATATCCATGAGATTAGAACTTTCATTGGATGATTTCTTCATAAATTCTACATTCTAGATACAATGTCAGTTAAACCACTGTATCCAACAGACATATCAAGGACAAATAGTTCAACTTTATGGACCCAAGAGGCCCTGGACTCTGAAGGGATCTTAATTATCAGATGGTGATCATTATTCTATATTGTTACCATCAAAAAATCTATCAGACAGTGATGTATATATATGCCCAGCTCAGATTACTGTTAACATGTTTTGTGGTAACC